ATGGATGGATAGAGGGATGGATGGATGGATGGGTGGGAGGGTGGATGGATGGATGGATGGATAGAGGGATAGATGGATGGATGGATGGGTGGGAGGGTGGATGGATGGATGGATGGATGGATGGATAGAGGGATAGATGGATGGAGGGATGGATGGATGGATGGATGGGTGGATGGATGAATGGATGGATAGAGGGATGGATGGATGGATGGGTGGGAGGGTGGATGGAGGGATGGAGGGATGGGTGGATGGATGGATGGATAGATGGATGGGTGGGAGGGTGGATGGATGGATGGATGGATGGATAGAGGGATGGATAGAGGGATGGATGGATGGATGGATGAATGGATGGATGGATGGACTGATGGATAGATAAAGGGATAGATAGAGGGATTGGTGGATGGATGGATGGTATGATGATAAAGGGAAGATGACCGGGATGATTGTTCTTCCTGAAAAGCAACAGATTGGCGTAGGACATTCACTGTCTTCAAACATTCAAGAATTGAAATAAAACATTGGGATGGGGGTGAGACAGGGGTCATTGCTCAATATAGAATCTACATGTAATGGGAGGGCGGTAAATCACAGTCATGCTTGAAGCTGTTTGAAAGGGTTGATTTTTATGTCAAACTAACATTTACATGAACCTGAGCAGCATAATAGGAAAGTATCAACACACCATAAAGATAAGTACCATGATAACAAATCGGAATCCCAAGCCCCCTCCCGATAAATCGAAACAAATAAAATAATAAACTAATGAATGCCTAAATGAACGAATGAGTAAATAAATATATAGATGAATGAATAAACTTATATAAAAACAACAAGACTAGATAAAGTGATTTTAAAGTGTATTTCGAATTATTATTTTACAGGCTATTTTTAAGGATGAATATGAATATGTCTGTGTTTCAAAATTTATAATTGAATTTTTACTTCCCTTGCTTCTAAAATTGCTTTAGCTGTGATTGATAATCATAACATTTTGATAATATGATTTATGATTTATGAGTCATTTCAGAAGGTTTTCATGATTCGAAACAAAAAGTATAACGTAACTACTCTTAAGATTCGTTTTAATCCTCTTTTTAATCAACATACCACGGTAACATTTTAGACCATCGAGTTGATTAAAAAAAACATTTGTTTTGTCTAAACAAATCTCTTTTATCAAAGGAAAACGAAATTAAGGCTTTAAAAATTCATCGAATTTCAGATTTGTTCAAAACAAAATTCAAATGAAAGTGAAGTATATAGGCCCATAGCGTTAAATCATTCAATATTTTAATTGTAATCGATAATTTATTATTGACTGTGCTAGATTTGGGGAAATTGAAATTCAATGTAAATTATTACGAATTTAGTCTTCCTAATTTTATTATAAAGTGAATTTTATGAATAAATTAAATACAACTTTGTTGTCTACGTTACTGTATGAAGCTCAGTTTTTGTAATCGTATATACATGTAGGCCTATTTAATATATATTTTACCCTGACGTTATTACACCTATATATTGACGAATTCATCGTTCTCTCTCTCTCTCTCTCTCTCTCTCTAAATCTCTTTCTACTCTCTCCTTCCCTATCTCTTTCACTCTCTCTCTAGCTATCCCCCTTTCTCTCCTTCTATCTCTCTCCCTTCTCTCTCTCTCTCTCTCTCTCTGTCTCTCTCTTTCTGTTTCTCTGTCTCTCTCTGTCTCTCTCTGTCTCTCTTTCACTTTCTCTTCTCTCTCCATGAATAACTCTGTTTCATGATGTAAACATGCGCCGGGATGAGTCATGCTTATTAGACGTCTGGAGAAATGTATACATTACATGGGCCTGCTTATAGATTGTATGCTGCATATGAGACGAAGAAAAAAGGCTACATGATGCAAGGCCCTTCGAGATTTCGTATAGCTTCTTTCATGCGCAGGGAATAAAAATGTGGAGATGACTGTGATATTAAACTGATGTGATGTGAATGAAGTTTAATTTGAATACTTAAGTCTTGTGAATGTGTTGAATGTTTATTGGACGCTTGATGGATGATTGGTTGATTGACTGATTATTTTGTTGAACTAAAAATAATTGATCGTTTGCTATAGTTTTATCGATTGTTTGATGAATAATTATGCATATTATCTCATGATAGAACGACTTAATAAAGAATATTATTAACGAATTTGAACTATTAATGGTTGAAATGGATTAGCAGAAGTAGATAAATGAAATCATGATAGTTTTGATTGATTGATTAATTAAAAGAATCAAATTGCCTGTTCATTTGTCTAATTGATTGACTGAAAAATATGTCTCAATTTAATGAACATTGACGATTGATATAAGGAGACTGGATAGACTAAAGAAATAGAATGGTAATCCTTTTGACCATATTGATCAATTATGATTAATAAGGAGAAAAGACTGTTATACATAGCTTGACTTATTGTTGATTAATTGACTTATAAAAGCCTACATGAAAAATGAAAGAAAACTCGACTGATTATAGTTTAAAATTGATTAATTGATCGAATTCAGTGATTGATTGGTCGATTGGTGGATCAGCTCATTGGTTTGTATTGATTGTTAATTGATTGATTTTTTTTGTTTGATTAATCGTTTGATTGATTTAATGGTTGATTGCCAAGGTTCATTGCATGAATTATCTTCAGTTGACCTACTCAACTCTACCTCAAAGCTGGTAGACTTTTCATTTAATACATTATATCCTTTTTTATTGATTAATTCTTATTGCCAGCATCACATGAATTTTGTTATCTTTTTTATTGATAAATTGATAAATCAATTGAGTTAACGTACCAGGGTATTATCATAATTCTGTTTATTTATTCATTTCCATGTCCTTTTTTTTTATTTAGAGATTTTTGTTGTATTGATTGTAAGTTTTATCTGTCACGATAAGCCCTATAAAGAAACGCGCTAATTGACAAATCATTGATAATAAATACAAAGAGAACAAAATTAGTTATCTATCTATTTTGATTTGTAATAATCATAACGTTACATTTCAGTAGAACAAATCATTGCATTTAACGATTACTGTCTAAATTCATCTTATTGAGTATGGATGTAATTTCTATTTTGAATACAATCATGATGAAGAGGGGTTTTTTGTCAAAGAAGAAAAACTTCTATGCAAGTGAATACAATGGAATTTAAGGATATTGAGAAAAAGAATATGAAAATATAATTGTTTCATAATGATAAGAATGCCCCCTCCCCCATTAAGGACGTCGGAAGTGCAGTATAATCGTTTAAGGAGTGACTGTGTCTGAAGAAATAAAATCAGGAGCCCTTTTTTTCTCTCTTGTCAAAGAGTTTTCTAATTCGTGTCCAAGATCATGGGCATGGTTTTCAAAATCGTGTTGGAAAAATTAAGGTCTCGATTTTTATTTTTTTTTGCCGATCACCCCTCCCCCGTCTTTTCGTAAAATCATGCTTGATGCGCTCCTAAAAAGTGTGAATTAGGGAGGTTCTGAAAGATGAAAAGAAAATACGTTTACATGGGAATAAGAATAATGTAATTTGAAATCATAATAAAGCGTCGTAACAAAAATGTAGAGTCGTAATACAAAAATCCCTCAAGGGGATGATGGAAATGTCAAATTCAGTTTTAGCTTTCACATGTACAGATGGAGGATAAATAAAGATAATATAGCGAGGCAAGGAGGATCGAGGGAGGGGATGAGAAAGAGAAGAGGATATAGAAGAGAAGGGAAGGGAGGGAGAGAGAGAGAGAAAAGAGAGAGAGAGAGAAAAGAGAGAGAGATGGAGAGAGAAAGGGAGAGAGAGAGAAAGAGAGAGAGAGCGGAGAGATAGAAAGAGAGAAAGATAAAGAAATGGAGATGAAGAGAGATAGAGGAGGGGGGGGGGGGGTAGAAACAATGTGTGTGTATAATCTTTTAACTCATTAATTGTCAGCGTCCATAACGTGGGACTTGCATTTTCCTCCGTTTCTTACCTGTCCGTTTCGCCTATATCTCCCATTTTCCAGTTTAACCCCTCTCCTTCCCCCTTCCTCCCTCTCAGCCTATATACTTCTATATATATCTTTCTCTTTGCATAAGACATGAACTCATTTCCTCTGAACTGCCCGATCAGTTGCGTCAGCACATATTAATGAGGCAATATAGGCAATATAATCAACCTTTGGTACGTTTAATAGTATATCACATTTCTCAGATTTTCCTGATCCCCGCTGCTTCAAAGTATTTTGCTGATCCTTTGGTAAATTTCCAGTTTGCATAATCCGTAATTGTTCATTATTTATTAAAATGAATGACAAACCTATTCGGATCTTTCATTCGATTTATATCCCTATATGTATTAAGTATTTATGTATTTAGGACATTGAAATTAGCTCAAGCAAAATCGCGTTTATTTTGGAAAAGGCAAAAGAAAATTATGTAGTTAGAGCTTATTGCAGTTGAACATTTTTAAGGAAGTTTGTTTTCCAACGCTAGCTATCGATTCAAATCAAATTTATAATTAGGTCTCGCTGTATGTTGAATAACAATAATGTTTGTTTGTTCATATAATATACTTTTGTATGCCTTACATACCCCTAGAGTAAAAAAATACCCATCAATCAAAACATATCGAAAGCAGTAGAAATACAGAATAATATCACCCATTCACACAAAAAAATGAAAACAAATATTTGTGGCCTACCATTGTATTTTCTTGAGAATCATTTCCCCTCCGGAACATTGTCCTTTTCCCATTACATGCATATTTTGAGTATCGGTATTTCATTACCTGGTTTAGGAAACAAAACAAAAAAATTCTTGCAAAGTGTAACATTCGAAGACCTACCGTTTCGGTTTCTAGAATAGTCTTTGTTGTATTGGCAAGAAAATGTTCTAGGGCATGTGGGAATGGAGTTTCCATTTTAATTTCCTCTTCAACGCTACGGTAGTATGTCCTGGCTCGCTGCCGTATCGTGATGAATATGCAAATTACTCCAGGGATTACTAGAGGTCATTCTCAGGGCATGTCATCTGTGAAGTCTGGGAAACTCGGCGAACGACATCTGACAGAAATGAAGCCCTTAGATCAGGCCATAAAACTAGCGGAAATTCTGTCTTGACAACACTGGAAATGAGTGAGTATGGGACAAGTATTAATCAAAGGTGCATGATATTAGTTTTATTTGCAGATAGGGGCTTAGATTTTTCCCTGTGCAGAGAAATCGTGTAACATCCCAAGGTCGATTTACGTTTTTTACTCGCCTGCAATACGTTTTGTGTGTAGTCAATGAATGATTGTGGTATGGTTTTTACTACGGACGGACTGTGGATGAATGCAGCGATATTCAATGGGCTGTGTGCAGGGAAGTAGAGAAAAGGGAGCAAGGTCCCTTTATTCATTTGTCACTAGATCCTACACAGTAATAGTATTACACATGCAAGTTGTAGTATTCATCGGCATAAGTGTGGTTTTGTACAGACTTGTATGGATCATGTTAATGTGGTATCTATTGTCAACTTCGCTTGTTCAAAATCATGAAAATTGGCGCCGAGACAAGTGAGAAATGTCGATCGTCGTGATTCTAAAATGTGTTGGTCTTGTTTACAATTACAATGCTAGATCTATGTAGTATTGAGTGGAAAGTTTTTTCTATATCTATTTCAGACATGTTGCATGTCATTTAATAGTATAACTTTACTTTTCAATGTACTTAGCCTAATTAAAATTCTTTGACCTAGACCTACATGTAGTCTAGTAACTATTCTATAGTATTAGAAAAGTATTGAAGCAATGCCGTGGTGTCACAATTGAATAGTTCAACCTGCCAATGCATGCAATGCAAATAACCTCCATGTTTCCTGTATTGCTACAGAACAATAAGGACAATGTATGACATGGATCAAGGTAACACCATTATCTAGACATGGAACTTCTAATAATGTGTATTAAAATAAATTGGTATGTAGAAAATTAAAACACACCAGATGAATGAATTGCAAGTGTGTGGCAGTGGTAAATGTAAATCAGGTATATGTTGCAAACTTCAAATCAGGGCCAGGGGACTGATTACTTCAAGTTTTAAAAGATAATACATGTCTTGATAATAGTTAATACTGCAGAAAAAACATACATGCAGTCGCTGCATCTGTGCTTGATTTAATTTAAGGTTTTCCGTACATATCGTTAATTTATATGTACATGTAGCCATATCAGAGGCATTCATTGTAGCTTGAGGAAGAATGTAACATAGCAAAATTTAAGGAAACTGGAAAGAAATTTAGTAAATATCGTTTTATCTTCTGCTTCTTGTATCACAAGAGATACTGTAGGCAGGGTATTTTTATGCTCTGTCCACACTTATAATATTTATTTCTTGTAATATTTTAATATTAATAACTACGTTATTCATTCCCGTTGCAAATTTGATGTTTGTGTTTTTCGTAACTCAAGAATGATAGGTGGATTGGTTAATTAGGGCCGTTGTTTTAAAACTTTAGATATATAAGCTTTAAAATGTCACATTCTCAAGAAATCTAAATAGGGACAATTCAACTTAAACAAAATTACAAAACCGGGTAAGGGTATGAAAATATGAACATTTTTGTGTCACCCCTTTGATCCTATCCCGAATTCATCACAGGAGATTTGTTTTGCAGATCTTTCTCTGGCACTCGTCAAGTTACATTTATGTAAACTCAGGTGTACAGGGGGTGTACATGCTCGTTTTTGCAATGGGAGTTAATGCCTCTTGCCCAAACGGCAACCATCCTGTTTGTAAATTCTGCAAGCGAGGGAAGCGAGTAAGCAAACAAGACACGTTATTAGTGTACACCAGATAAGACAAAAATATATTCGACTCCTCCCTGCCCTGAAAAGGCTTGAATGCATGACTGTATAACAATGATCGCATTTTAAGATTTTTAGAAATCAATATACCGTAAGGGCAATTTTATTAGTAGCCTTTTGTATACCCATAGACACCGTGCTTGGACTATACATGTATACCGGTAATGTTTCATCGTAATGTTTGCACACTTGGATGGGTGTGGACGGAGCTATTGAGATGGTCTTAGGTTGAGTTTACAAAATTCTTTGCAATCGTGTTGAATACAAAACTATTTGGGCACCTCGATACCTGAATATGATCATTTTCAGGTCACTTGTTTTTTCTGACTTTTGCAAGCGAGTGAAGCAAGCAAGGAAAATAGAGAAAAAAGAAATGCCCCTCTATTGTTGTAAAAGTCTCATTTCCATAATCAGAAATACACCGCATTTAGATAAGATATATCCGAACCCCTCCCTGCAAAAAGAGGGTTATTTTTAGCCTTGCTGCACAAATATGGGGAATTTAGGCAAATTGCTACCTGAAATCATCTAGTGTTTAAAATTATAGACCAAACCCAAATTTGAATTATTTGAAAGAGACAACATGATAACACGCTATTCATAATACACACCTGTACATTGCTATTTTTCTAATGTGTAGACAAGTATCCACTGTATTATAATGCAAGCCTTTGATTTTCTATAATCAAATGAGGAGGCAAGTTGGCTTAGTCGTTATAGCATCTGCCTGTCGTACCAAAGATTGTGGGTTCGAATCCAACACAGGCGGATGACTGAATCCTGCATTGTGTGTTAACGTGCCCCTCCCTTGTTTCATAGATGCAGGCTATGTTAAAGATAAACTTGAGTTCTGGTAATGCGATTGCATTGTGAAAGAAAAGGTGTGGAATGGATCAGAAAAGTTGATCATATAGCATGTAAGTAATGGTGAGTAATGCAAGGTTCTGGAGTCATCAAAATCATCATAAATTTGACAGTCTTTTGGTAAAGTAACAATCACTTACACAGAAAGATGTATATGGGACAACACACATGGTGTCGGGGCTAGTACTACCCTGATTTCCTTATCTTTCTATGCTCATTACTCAGCCAGTATACATTTTCTTCCAAAATTGTTAGGCACATGACATTTATTTGTAATCTTGAACATTCAGTGTAAGTTTCGTTAGATTCTGTGAGAATTCATTTTCTTTTTTTACCAGAACTCAAGTTTATCTTTAAGTAGAAAACATTCCATCCCTTGGATAGGGCATTAAATGGAGGCCCCGTATAGAGGAGATTCACTACCTTTGTACGTCAAGAACCCACTGCTCTATTTGTATAAGAGTAGGCTCAGTAGGGGCAAACCCTGATGTAGTGGTCCACCTGTACACCCCCAATCAGTTATACCGGGAGGAGAGACCCAAGGGTGATCAGTGATTCAGTTCGCTTTTAGCCTCTCAGGCACAGGTGACGCCAGTACTTAATAATAATGAAAATGATGACATGCTTGAGGACGGACAAATCTTTTATGATCTTTTAGGCATAAAGAATTCACTAAAAATCCAGTGCTAATTCACAATGGGGGTCTCAAAACAGACAAAACAAATACTTGTAGCAAACCAGAAGAGTGTTTGAGAGAGTTAATGCGCGCCTGGCTCCAAACAGATGATTTCATGTACCATTATATGTACTTTGCACGCATTAGGGAACTTTAAGTAAATGATTTCAACATAAATTATTATTTATAATAGTAATTAGTTATAATTTTAATGGCCCTAAGTGTAAATAGCAGATTGGAACATAATCCTGCTTTTCAGTTTTCATGCTATCTCGATATTTGCCTAGGAATGAAAAGTAGAGGTTAATAAGGATATCAGAATACCATTCAAGACAGCCTAAGCGATATACTGGTAGCAATCTTCAAAATATGGAAATCCATACATGTACCTTTATACATGTAACAAACATTTAAAAGATGAAATTGCTGTACAAAAATGTACATGTACCAGTGTCTCACTTGGTCATAGAGTTCTATTTGTTAGAAGTGTCACAAGAATTCTGATATTTTGAGCTTCACATCATATTTAAGACAAGCCATCTACAAAAATCTAGATTTTCCCCATCTTCAAAAGTGATCCCAACTTGCATTAATACTGCCCCAGCTGTAAGTATTTGAAAAATGATTTTATACATGTACATGCATTATTTGAGGCCTTTAGGTTATAACTTTCATGAAATAATAATAATAATACATTACATTTATAAAGCGCTCAATACAATGATTCTAAGCACTAGAAGAAAGGAAAAGGAAGGAAAAGTGAGAAGAACTAAAGAAACATATTTGAATAATGATAATATAATGATTATATGTTTTTTTTCTCACATTCAATTCTTTACTAATATTTCTATTAAAAACAAATCTCTAGTTTGAGCAGTTTCGTATGAGGCTATGGAGAACATGTACGTGTAGTGCAAAATTTGAGATTATAAATTGAAAGTTTATAAAGTGGCAACTGACATTACAAGAAGGTCATAATGTTCAAAGTAAATGCCACACACATTGTATGAGGTCGATTGCTTTTAAAATTAATTGTACATCTGTATGTATAGCATGTTGGCCTTCAGTTTATGATGACTCAGAGTACAACATAATCAAAGATCTTTCGTTTTCAATTTCGATTTAAAAAAAAAAAAAAAAATTTAAACAATGTGAGCCATTATCATTACCAATATCATCAATCTATTTCTATGGAACAATTGGAAAATCAATCACCGTTGTACTGTATGCAATTATGCTTTATGTACATTTGAAGGAAAAAAAATTGTACTGTGATGACATACATACAATGTATACATGTACATGTAGGTTCCAGTATTATTATTAAAATGTGCTCAGAAAGCTGCTACAGATTCTAATTACCCTGAAACATTTGGGCAAACAAAATATTACATTATTATTTGTTGAAAGGAGGATATTTGGTTTAAGGCGTGCACTTTGTTATAAAGAGCCAGTTTGATTGCAAGGTATGGGTTAATGTAGTCCTACAGTTATGTTCATGAACTAATCTACTTTCATATCAACCACCTGTACACTGTATATAAGCTTATAAGGTCAAACAAAAGTGTTTCACATTAAAACCTGTACTAAAGTCATGGATAACCTGTATATAAAGACCGCTGCTTTTACATGTATCAGGCAGTTTTAATAGACAGGTGTTTCTACATATATTTTTAGCATAAATTTCTGTTACATACATCAAGTTGCTTAAATTGCTAGAAAAGGGCACTGTGTAACTATGAACCATCCATGATTTGCTCTTCACTCTATTATTACAAAAGGATATCCTGGCCTGGAAGGATCTTTGGATCATGAATGTTGATGTGGGTTGAAGGAAGAACATTAAAGGTAATGCACTCGTAAAAGGTCAAAGAAAGAGAGATAGAAGAAATGAAGATTGAGAGACAAGAAAGGAAGGAGGAGGAAGAAGGAGAAGAAAAAGGAAAGAGGAAAGAGGAGGAAGACAGAGGAGGAGGAGGAGGAGGAGGAGGAGGAGGAGGAGGAGGAGGAGGAGGAGGAGGAGGAGGAAAATGAAAACAAAAGAGGAGGGTAAGAACGAAAAAGGGTTTAGAAGATAAACAACAACAAGGAGGAGGGAATGAAGAAAAGAAATTAGAAGAAGAAAAGGTGTAAATAAGTTTCTTTTTAAATTGAGTGGAAGAGAAGGAGAAGAATATGAAAAAGATGGAAAAAATGAGATTGTTGAAAAGACAAACAAAAAGTAAAGAATGAAGAAAATAAAAAGAAAGTAATGGTTGTTTGGTTGAAGAGGATTAGACAGATTTTTCCATTGTTATTAAAGTTTTGTACAAGTCTGATATTCAATATTTTCTCTCCTCCTCGCTTTCTGTGTTTTTGAATTATCAATGTATGCTCTCTCTTGACAAACGGATGGAATTATTCATTTTATGATTGTTTCCATAATGTAATGGAGACAAATCATTGTTGTCATGTTTTAGAGAAGCTCTTTAGAGATGCTTGTCAAACGTAAGTAATGGAGAAAAATCTTGAACAAAACATGACTAGCCTTCTTCAATTATTCAATTCTTTTTTTTCTTTCTTTTTTATAATAAATATTGCCTGTTTCTCAACTATTTTATAAGGATATTATTCTGGGCATGCACTAAAGGCACCCCTGGTGTTTTTTCTTACAATATATTGTATTGATTGATGATTCATTCAAGGCATGTGGTAAGGTAATTTGTAAAGCCTTTACTCATTTGGGATTTTCTCTTAAGTAGGCCTATGTACCACCTTCCGCGGAGCTTCAAATTAAAGGTACATAATATAGTAGTATCCAAACAAAGTACTCCATCTTTAGCTCTGGCAGTCATATTGGTGATTTTCGTTAATGAGCCACGTATCGTCTGTTAGAAGCCAGAATTGCGTTAATTATACTTTCACACAGTAACCTGGCATATTTCTTCAGCTCCTTTCTGGCAGTTATTGTACCAGAACTACAACTACTTTGCTTTTGGCACTTGTATCAAATTTATGGAGGCACAAAAACAATTATATAAAAAAAATCTAAATGAACTAAACAGATGTTTACCATTAAAAAAAAAAAAAAAAAAAAGGTAAATGATTCAAGATGTCCAATTTATGTTTATTTTATTGGATTGTGGTGTTCCATTTTAACTTTTTCCACAAAGACAAAATTACAAATAAAAATGAAATATAAGAAGAAAAAATAAAGATGGCTACTTCCTAATTCTCTTTCCCTTCATACATCAGTTAGTATTTGTCCCAATTTTCACTTGGTGTACATTTTATGAAACTTGATACATTTAAATTGCATGAATTACATTTTTATCTTGGGAGCTTGGAGCGACTATCATGCAAAATTTATGAGCAGTCTGTTTTAGACATCACTCAAATGCCCTTCAGGTCATGTATACATGTTTTATACATGTAACAAAAATACATGTATCTAGCCTACAGATCAACAACGTATTCCCCCTTTTTGGGTTGGGAGGTTTTTTTTTCCCTTTTTTTTCCCTTCAGTTTATTGATAAACAAACTAGTACATGTACGTGGAAGTGCAGGCTTGATGTGAAATTGTAAAAAAGTGAAAAAAGGGAAGAAAAAGACACAGAAGATAATCAATTCACTAGACCATTGCATGATGAAAGTTGAAAGAACATAATTACAGATAACATGGACAAAAATAGCACGTTTGTCTAAGGAGGGTCTCACATTGCAACATATTAATCTAAAAATAGGTCAGGGTATGCTAACCAACTTGTCCTCTTGCTAGAGATGCAGTTGTAGCTGAAAGTTTTGTAAAGTTTACTTAAATTAAATTGGATTTGCAGTATTTGATGTTCTTTTTCTCCTTCTGTTAATCTTCGAAGGGCTTTGCAGCCCATCACAAAGATCTTTAGGGAGATTACCAGTTGTGTATTGTGTCAGAAGCGTAGCATATTAACATGCCCAAGGTGTTACTATCCTACACACTGGTTAACATTTTGTTTGATAAACAAAGTGTTTTCCTTGAACCCGAGCCTGCATCTAGAACAGAATGGAGGGACGCGCTTACACAATGCTGCGACAATCATGTTTTGTTTGTTTTGTCTGCTCGTGCAGGACTCGAACCCACGTGCATGAAGAAAGTCATGAGAGCCAGACGACAATCCCACTACGCCTCACTGCATGTGGTTGATAAATTTACTTGCATTTATAATTCTATGCTCTTCTTTAAATTCAATTCAATTCAAGGTTTATTCAACACTCTTCATAAAAACATTTAAAACATACAAATACGGAATGGAGAAATGGAATTCTACACAAAATAATTTACCTCCTGGGCCAGGATGTAAATTCATTTCTTCGGCTGGCATGCCTAAAACAAAGGGACTGCTGTGTGTACATAAATTTATGATCATCGGCACGATTGAAGGGCAGTGCAATTCATAGGCAGGTGGTCTTTATGTACATGTACAGGTTCCTTTAGTACATATTTCAATGAAAAAACATTTTCAAAGGAAACAAAAAATTTGGTCTTTGTAGACAGGTGGTCTTTGTATACAGGTGGTCACTAAAGCGGGTTTGACTGTATAATCCATAATAATGCTCCCAAGGGAGTGGAGAGTGTGCAGCACTATAAAATTCAGAATTTTAATAGAATTCAGTGACCGGGGTAATAATACTGTAAGCGCTCAGGTCGGTTACGAAAGCACTTCAGAAGAAACAGTTATTATTAGTTAATATTATTATCAGGTTGTCTGATTGGGCGGGTGAAAACGAATATCTGTACACCTTTTATAATGCCACAGTAACATGATTGACGAGTGGATGTTATTACTGAAAAGAACATTATAATGATAACGGTTTCTTGTAAAGCGCCTTACCAGTTACATCACAACGGACCAAAGCACTCACAACATTGCACAGTATACATGAACATGTACTTGTAGGTAAACCTTTCGCGGAGACATCGACGAAGACGGAAAAAGCAGACAACTTGGGATACGGAATATAGACTTGTGATGACCTTTTACTGCTTGTCTGGGACTTGAAGTCTGCATATTGGGTATTGCTTTTCACAAGAATGCAGCTGAGGCTTTGGATTTTAATTATTTACTCTTATTCCTCTCAAGTCACCTTTCTTATTGATGTGCAAGTAGGGTAGCTGACAGTAAGCGTGCAAGGTACAGGTGGATGAAAAGTATCCGTTATATTTTTGTCGTTTATAATGCAGAATTTAAAAAAAAAAGAGAAAAGTTAGATTTTTAAATTTATTTCACTTTGCGATATTGTTCTTTTTTATGTGAATGTTAAAGGGTACATACATATTTACATTATTTGTGTTTTAGCATCGATCTTTTTTTCAGCAATAATATTATTTTTTATCCTATTGTAAGAAATTTTACTTGCAAGATTTATTTGGGAGACATTGGTGTCTGTAAACTTATTTTAACCATTCAACACATTTATTCATAGAAACAATTTTTATATTGTGACATTTTTGTGTTCTATCCATATACAACCAGACATGGTACCTTTGGAGGCAAAATATGTACATACACTGTATGTATGAGATTGCTTCTGATTTGTTTCAAACTGGGATAACAGCAAGATTTCTGTAGAAATACTAATTTCTACCTTTGCTACAAATTGTGGTTAATTTAAAGTGGTAAAACTTCCTAGAACGCAGTGTCATTTTGTTCAAGGTCATGGATTTGATGTAATTATTCTTTATTTGTTTGTTTGATTGTTTTGTTTTGTTTTGTTTTTTGTTTTGTTTTTGGTGCATGCATGCAAGCCTTCAGACTTTTATCATACATAAATGTATTTCCTTGACTACATAGTTTTGAATAGCCTTAAAAGCTACATGAAAGGCCAAAACAAATCCAGATTAATCCATATTAATCAGTAGGAAGAACTTGTCGCTTTCCTCTTGGAACATGGGTTCTCCTGTAGAATTGTTGTCTTCCTTGCATTGTATTCGTAGATATCTTGTAAATATAAACATGTAACTGCATAAACTAAATCTGGGACAAAGTTGGATTAAAAAATGGTCATTGAAATACAAATAAAATTTATATTAATCAATTTTAGTAATTTATAAACCCGTCCAGGATGGATTTATTTAACCTCGACAAGGAGAGCTTGAGTACTTCAGCAATATATTTTAGTAAATACGAGTTACAAATCCAATGTCCCTTTATAAACAACGTTCAACAGTAGCATTTAATAAAACTGTTGTCATCATCTTGAGCCCATTATATTTCCACCTGGGATCCGTGTTATCTCATATTTATGGCTGCAGTCTATGGAGGGAAGGAATAGCAAATGGAATTGCCAGCAATTATGATTGGCAGAGTGCCACAGATGTGCATCCATTACATGTTGATTATGTTTCTTCTTTCTCCTGTCTGTGTGTGGGGGTATTTCATGATGCGAATCTACTTAAACAGGGTCTGTGATTTATTTAAATGAAGATGTTTGTTGATGGATCTGTTACCGTTTTGATCGAAACGTTAATTTTGTAGTACAGTTTGTAATGCAGTACGGTGTACAGTCCATCAATTTAAACAAGAGAGTCGAGAGTTGTTTTTCAAATACAAATGTAAGTAGAGTGTTCTTTTTTAAATGTCTGATGTAGTGATAGTATACAGACCATGCACATGAAACTGTAATTTTGTTTTGTTTGTTAACGACATTTACATGAACAATGTACGTACATTTACATATACATGTATCAGGCATTCTCAGATATAAAATTGATAAAGTACACACTGCACACTCTCGGTAGATCAAAATTCAAATTTTCAGTTTTACATGCACTAATAAAGTGTGTGGTGAATTTGATTTTGGAATGTCATGAAAGAATAATTATTGAAATTGCATAGACGTCTAAGTGATGATTCAGTTGTACATGATGTGCTATGTTTTTTTAATATTTTTAGATTAATGATAGTTTGTTGAAATAAGGGTCATGCTGTGTGTTTTTAAAGAATGCTTCAGTATGTACATATCAATGCAAGTACACATGTTACATGTAGCATGTTCTAGTACAATTATAAACAGAAGGTGGCAGAGTAGACATTAAGGCTTGATGGTTAGAGTAGTATTAAACCATGAGATTACAGGTTCAAATCGGGTTGAAAGTGCCAATAATAGATTTATTGGATCGAAGTTCCATTTCATTTGATACATGTAGAAAGAAAGGGCCCCAGGTTTCCTTATTTCTATATTACTTTAATTTCCCCATAACATATATTTACCAAGTATTTACCAATAAACATGAAGGTTATTATTTTACAAGTGAAGCTCTTTTTTTTTGGCATGGTTAATACAAAAATATATAAAGAAAAACACTGTCATTAAGTTGTCTTTTTTTTTCTCTCTCTCTCTTTCTCGCTCTTTCTGTCTACTTTCCTATTTACACTGTACTCTGTACCCTTTTCTTTATTCAAATTCATATCTGTACTCTTAATTATCTCTTTTGTTCACCACAAATGCAATGTTGGATTGGATTGTTAGTAGTACAAACTGAAAAGAAAACGATGGTAATTATCTACAAGTAGTTTTCTCTTGATGGTGCAATTCTCCTGTGATAAAAATGAAAAAGGATTGGCTCGCATGTTCGCAATCTTTAATTACAGTTGTTTTATAAACTATAATAACTTTCTCATGTTTTTCATCTCAATTATTTTTGCAGACTCCTGTGATATAAATGGAACAAGGGTTGTTTAGGAGGTGTTCTTGGAGACATATTGGTGCTTTGAAAGTTCTTTTCAAAGTATAGTGAATGCTATAAAGGAAGATGGGAGCAAAGATGTTGCCAGATTTGAATGGATGCGTTGCTTAATTAAACGTGTCGCTGTCATCTAATGGGTAGTTACAATGCAAAACCAAGCACATCAGATGAGAAAGATCACAGCGTTCAACCAACGACCACTTCCAAGCAAACTGATTTTAACAACTCGCATCCATTCACAATCGAGGACACCTCGGACACCGACGGGGACGAGACTCTCTCAAAGAACTCAATAAAGAAATCCCCGTCACCGCCACCGGTAGTAAAACAGATCCCAAAATCGAGTGAGGCGGTGATGCAGGATGAACAACGCCAGCGAGAGTTGGCACAAGAAAGACACAGAGAAGAGACAAGGGCGCCCTCAAGTAGCTCGGGAGAGTCAGCCTCACCATATGGACTGTACAACCCTCTGGCAGCATCGAATGGAGGTCGGCCCTACCCTCCTGCATCGGCCTCCCCTGCTGTAACGGGCAGTGGCATGAACCCAGGATCGTTACCTCTGCTCCAGTACCCTGGTCAGTCGGCCCCACCTTTGGTGGCCATCAATCCCACTTCCTCGGCCGTCTTTGCACCCTATCCAAGCGCATTCACGTCTCCCGCTGCAGCCGTGTACACGGCGGGCTTGCATAGCAGCGCAGCCAATCCCAGACCTTACCATGGCATAGAGTCTTATTCAGCGATGCTTGCTAGTATGGGCAGTCAGGCGCAGCAGCATCTCCAGGGACACCTCATTCCAGCACCTTCCTACTTCCAGGGTGGCTACATCCCTGCACAGTACAACCCTCTATCGCCCCTGATGGCCGGGGTGATACCGGCCTCCAAGGGCATGTTCCCTGAGGGGAGCTACCTGCCAGCTGCAGTAGGTCCACACGTCTTGACAGGCATCCTTCCCAGTGGCCACCTGGTTCCTCCTCCTACAGGGCAGCACCCGGAAGCTCCTGGTGAGGATCGGGGTAGGTCCAGCCCCGAGGAGCACTACTCTGCATCCTCAAGGTACCTCGAAGTACGAGAGCAACAGATCCTCGAGAGCAGACGATTGGCTGAGATGCAGCAGTTGTCTCCCGGCAGTCAGGTGCATCGCAGCATCCCTGAGGCCAGAGTGTCGCCCTTTCAACAGGTCTCCCCCGTAGCATACAGAGTGGCCATGCCAGAAGCAGTTGAACGACTCGAGTCAAAAGGATCCAGCCCAGGATCTCTCCAAGCTAAGTCAGTGCACATTTCATCATCAAAGGTATGGAAATTTGTCATTTAAAACATCCTTAACTACTCATCTTGTATTAGCTAATAGCTTTGATTGCTGCAATCTTATTACATTTTTAGTAATGTTTTGATATGTTAACGTCTTCTAAATATTTTGTTTATAGTCCTTAAGTTGCAACACATTGAACATAACATTTTGCAGATAATTATTCAAACACTTTTCGTATACTCCTACTTCCCCCTCCCCCTCTCTCTCTCTCCCTTTCTCTATCTCTCTCTCTCTCTCTCTCTCTCTCTCTCTCTCTCTCTCTCTTTCTCTCTCTCTCTCTCTCTCTCTCTCTCTCTCTTTCTCTTCTCTTCTATCTCTCTCTCTCTCTCTCTCTCACTCTCTTACAATTCATTTTGCATTATCGTGCATTTGTGTGTACCTCTACGTTTGCACTTGATTTTCATTATTCCCATCATCTGTTTTATAAATCTCCCTTTATACTATAAATGGCAAATTGAAAATACACCTGTATCTACCAACGTTTGTGTACAAGGCACAATATAAACATTGGAGTGTAACCTGGAAGGAAACATGTACACACAGTGGAAGTGGAAGAAATTATATATTATTGAACATACCTACCAGGGGTGAATGCTCCCCGAAGGCTTTAGAAAGTACATTATAATGCAGGTCGTAAACAATATCGCATCCCATTGCGACATGGGGAGTAATTCTAAAGATGCGATAACCAGCCCAAGCCATGTAAAGCACAAATTACTATGAGTACGTGTTCTGCATTGATTCACATGATGGACAATTTTAATAGGACATATCTATTTCTTTCCTCTTTAATAATGCTCTCCAAATTATGATCGTGTCCATTTTACTTTTATGCTTGTAAGATTATTTTGTGTTCGTGATTACAATACATGTACGTTGACTAAACCGCATCTTGTTAGTGAAGACGACAGCTGTTTAAGTGCAATTTTTTTTTGCTTTGATTATACTTTTTAAGGTCATATCAGCATGATCTACTTTCTTATGACCTTTCAATGTCTTTCAAACTTTATTCTATTTTGAAATTCTTGACTTTGCATAACAGGAAACCAACCCGGGTCCAGTTTTATTATCACAGTTGTGTTTATTCTTTTCTTTTTTCTACAGATGTAGGGCAATTTTGTTGTCATCAGTCATATTATTTTTTCTTTCTGACACCTGTTAAAAGCTGTAAGATACAGTATGTTGTGAATGAGCATGTTTATTTGTGAATGAATTGACATACTTACATGTACATATCACAACTTTTGTTTTACATTAAAAAAAAGAACATTTATCTCATCTTTATATTCTACATGAACCGGTATGTTGTGGTACTTTGGGGGTAATGCTCTATTGTATAATAAGTGCACAGTTTGTCAGTGAAGGTGTTGAAAAAGGAGATTCCTTCAGGCCTTAAATTTCAACATTTTTAGGGCAAGGCCACTTTTCTGTAGGGCACATTCCTATATTACAGCACTAATGGGAAGAATTGGAAAGGGCACAAAAAAATCTCCAAGGCCAATGAGAGGGGCATTGAAACCAATCAAAGGGGGCATCCAAGGCCATGGCCTTGGTGGCCTTGGATTAATTTAAGGCCTGTACCTTTCTGGCTTTTAGTTACATACGGCTATAGATTATTCTTTTCATGACATTGTTTGTGATAACATGTTTTAGCATGATTGACAGTGAAAGAAAACGGTTTTATTGCTTTGACCGACTTGTTTGATTCTAGGATGTGATGCTTCACTGTTCAACCCCCAAGCAAGTTCTAGGAGGCGGTGACGTGGACTCTTCCCGGCAGGTGCAGCTGGCTCTGCTTCCAAACACCTTCTACTGTGGCTCGGTACCGGGACAGGCCATGGTGGCTACCACAGAGGGTACCATCCGCGTGGAGCTTCCACCGCCAACCGTCGGAATAAACATTGGCCCCAAACACGGGCAGCCGATGCCCAACCCTGGCATCCCCATGTCATCGTTACCCATCACATCGTCCAACAGCGGAGGCAGCATCTTCACCTTCCCTGGTAGCAGCGGTGGCCTTCCACCGCTGACCAGTATGCCCTCCACCATTGCCGCAGCGCCAACGGCGGTGCCCTACCAGGCGGCAACCTCCTCCAGGCACCATTCACCCACATACTCCGCCACGGTGGCAGGCCTACAGTCATGGCACCTCACCCCGCAGGTGCGCCCGACGCCATCGGTCAGGTTCCAGAGTCCAAGCCACAGTCCCGGCATGGTAGCAGGGCCACACCAAGATGGAGATCAACCTATGTCAGGTGAGATTTAAAATTCAGATCATATTTTCTAAATGCTAACCTTATTGCAATCTCCATTTTAATACTAACTTTATCAACCATTTATGTCTTCTATAAAACTCAAGCACTTGTGAGTTTGTTTTTAAAACATCTACATTGTACATGTACTAGGTAGGTGCAATACCTTTGTATAATAACAACAAATTAGAGGCCTATATTAGCTTAGAATGATAGGCACTTATCCTAAAATTAGAACTTAACTTTTTTTAAAGTTTATTGGGGTCGCTTGACGGTTTCTTGTACAAGGGTACGTGCCATGACATGTTCATATTACTGTCAGAAGATATTCAGTGAATGTTATGTAGGCAAGACATGTTTTTGGATATTATGGATAAGAATGTACTGAAGATAGCCTTGTACTAGTAGCATAATTAACATACATTTAGCTCGTGACCCAAAATGCACATGCCAAAATCTGACAAAATTTGGCTTGCATGTTGGCTTGCGAAATTCCCAGGAGCGGCGCTGCCTGACTCGCCAGCCAGCTCAGAGTTGTTGGCCGGCGACCAGTTCCATCTAGTCAATACTTGCACATTGCCACATGACTTGGCAGAGGGCAGCCCAGGAGGGGAAGCTAGGTTTATTGGGAGTCTGCCAATATTCGGTCGGTGGCTGGCCTGGTGCCGTTGTTGCTTGCGTGGATGTCCCATTAAATCACCAGATTAAATGTCCTACATGGGGGTTATTGTTCTGTTCTAACCGTGATGTCTCACTTGGTGACGTACATGGACATATTGTATGTGACCTGTTGAGTATACCTGTGGTATGTATCTTGGGACCGTTGCACTGTCTGTCAATGACTAATACAGCTGGTCGTATTGGGCAATTAATGTATTGTGCTGGGATATTGCAATCAATCCCTGATGATGTTTGTAGTTTGTCATATTCCTAGTAGCTTCATTGTAGTATGGTGTGTTTGGTGCTCTTTAATCATACATGCACTATTAAGTGTTTTTTTTTCTTCTTTCTTTAACGATTCAAGATACATACATGTACGTGTGTTTATGATTTCATAACTGTCATTTTAATCTATAGGTAAGGTACAGTGTGGCTGTTGAGGGGATAGATATGATTGTCCATGGTTTAATTTTCCTAAGGAATATATTATGTATATGTACATTAGTTGTCCAGGGTTTATTTTTTGTAAGAGGGGGGGGGGGGGGGGTCATTTAATTGCTAGTCATCAGGATATGGGAAGCTTGTAGTGTACCTGGGAAAAATATAAATAGATCAAATAAAGCCTTGATTTACATGTACATTAGATGTAGAATCGGGGATATGTTATTCAATTTAATACCTACAATAGCAATGTGAAACAATAAATCACAACTCTTTCTTGAGGTTTAAATGGAAACAAAATATTTGTTATATGGAAAGAAGGTGAGGAATAATGCTGATTACATACATCACAACCTGTTGAGTACTATCACCTTTCCAGTGACAGGTGAGCTAACAGGTCACATGATCCTTTCACATTGTTAGTCATATAAGAAATAAAGAGACATGAATATAGGGGTTTTCCCTCTGGGTAATGGGACATTCATTTGTTAGTGTTATTGATTTGTGGTCTAGTGCACACCCCCCTCCCTCATACACCCAAACATAATTTTTCAAAAGTTACAACAAGGGCCAATGCATGTACTGTCAAACCTGTCTATAGAGACCACCCAAGGGAAACATAAAAAGTGGCCTTTGTAGACAGGTGGTCTTTGTAGACAGGTTCCTATAGTACATGATTCAATGAGAAACCATTTTGAAGGGAAACAACAAATGTGGCCTTTATAGACCGGTGGTCTTTGTAGACAGGTGGTCACTAAAGCAGGTTTGACTGTATAAATGTCAATCTGGACTCCAGGAAAAAAAGTTAGTATGAAGCCCTGGTCATGGTGATCTCCTTGTGTGGCTCATCAAGCTCTCCCTGTATCATCCTTCCGTATGTCTCACAATCAACAATGATTCATGACGGTCACCAACAGACATCCAAGTTGACGTAAGGTTCACAGGACTGAAATTACACAAAGCGAAGATAGTTGGAAGCTGTTCTTCTTAGACCACAAATTTAATTCAGTCTTGTGCTCTCGTGTAGGTCTCGTAAATTCTCTGGAAAAGAAGGAGTTTCACATGATCAAATTGTTAGTCTCATAGGCTGTCAATTGTTTTGACCTTTGGTAAACTACCCTGTATGCTGTAGCATTCACCAATTGATCAAGATACTCATTGGAGCTTTATTTCATTTGGTCCAAATTAGTATCATCTTATTCTGACAGTTGATGCTGCCACCTGAAATAGATTGTATCACAAGAAAGGTCTTTAAACCTTTAACCAGGTACTTTTACACAGACTGAGCATACTTCTGGCTCTCAACAGTTTGAAGAACAGATGGGATTTTAAAAATCTGGATTTATATAGCGCTTTTATACAAAATACCATCTTTAAGCAGTTTACAGATCTTATTACCCCGGTCATCAGATTTATTCATGCACAATGTACACCATCTCCACTCTCTGGGAGTATTCCTTACCGTGAGGTCACCGTTTAGTGCATATATGGCAATTACTGATACAAAAGTTGTCCTACCAGATCCCCATTTCTCTCTTGGGTATGGAGTGGCAAATGTAGATTAATGCCTTGCCGAAGGACATTAGTGACCTTTGCATTTCAAGTCACATGCTTAAAGGCCAAGTCCACTCCAGAAAAAAATCACTTTCAATAGAAACAGAAAAACGTCAACTTGAAAAGCAAGTTCTTCATGTCATAAAAAATTCATATCTTTTTTATTAGTTATCCGATTTGGTCAAACTTTTTTGATTGGTTTGTATGATTTTTCTGCTTCTATTATAAGTAAGTTATTTTTGGAGTGGACTTGGCCTTTAAACCACTCGGCTATGACACCTCTACATTTATTCTGACTGACTCATCTGCTGTAATGTACCTGCATCTATCATCTAGTTACGGTTCAGCATTAAACATACAGCCATGAATCTGTCATCTGTCGTAGCTCGCATTGCTCGGAAAGAGATGATGTAATAGTTTCAAAATAGACGCAACAGTGTTGCAGTGACCGAAATCTAGTAGCTGAAGAAGCAGTGGACAGTATAATACACGAATGTAGTTTTGCATTCTTATTATATTTACACTTTAAGTGTATATGTGATATTCTATGGTATCCTGCATTACTATTGCATACATTTATCATGTTTGTCAAGGTATTTTGATATTTCATTTTAATAAAGACATTTTATAAATGTTATTGAAGGGTTTACACTATACATGCATTACAACTATTCATTGCTTACAGTATAAAGGCAATGTGTATACAATTTAAATTTGATATGTTCAAGTACCAGTATGCCATATTCCATCGTTATATACCGGTACATCCTGATGATAATAATGCAACATTTTCCATTTTGAGCAATTTTATGTTTGATGGCCTTCTGCTGTACTACAAACCAAACCTGTCTAGTAAGGCCACCCAAAGGAAACACAAAGATATGGCCACAATGCACAGGTGACCTTTCTAGACAGGTTTTGCACCACATGTTCCCTCCTAGATCGAGGCAATGTACATGTAGGTGACCACTATTTAAAGGTACTATGTCCCTTTTGCAGCCAACATCAAATTCTGTAGAACTTTGCAGGAATTATGAATATGTCATGTATGTCCTATCTGTGAAATTTAAATGTTAGCAGTGTCCTCATATTCAAATTATGCAAGGAAACCTGTTTACTTGCTAGACTTCACTGTCAGACACTGTTGAGTGACTGACTGGCTTTTTTTCTTCTTTGGTAATAACATACATGAAAAGAGTTGTAAAGGGTACATGAGCATTTGTCTACATCAATAACCCACTTCTTGTGATGGCCAAGATTAAACTGATTGAATCTTTGCGCAGCATAAAACGTATGACCATTCGGTACAATTGTCTGAAAATCAAGACTATTACTTTTGGGCTCTATAGCCCTAAAGTCGATTTGACAACTAATAGTCGTTATTTTCCCACTTGAAGACATTTTCAAGCCCCACCTTTTTAAGGAAGTTCTTAATTAGTGTTATCTTTCAAATGCAGTTGGAATTTAACTTTTTCAGTTTTTGGCCTGCAAATGGGACATAGTACCTTTAATAGACAGGTAGCCTTAATTTGACTGTATTACATTGTAGCTCAGAGGAGAACTACATTGTACATGAATGAGTATGTTGAATGTTGCACTTGCAAAAAAGTATTTTCATACATGTATCAATGGGAATAGATAATGATATCCTATGATAAAGTGACTTCTAATGTCTTTAAAAAGAAAAAGATATTTCTGAAGAGTATTTAACAGGATTGTAAATGGAGAAACTTCTGAATGTTTTTTACGAAGTATAACTAAATTATTCAGGTCCAAACACAATCGCCTTACTAGTACATGTATGACTAAGATTAATCGCCCTGTTTCTTGAAAAACAAATCTTATAATCATCACGTGATGAATGGAATCTTGAAAGAAGATTGTACGAGGAGAAAGTGTGTAAAGGAGATTTATCAGAAATAGTTCAATAATTTATAACATTTTGTGGAAAGCTGCAGGAGTGGGAAATCCCATGCCAGTTACTTATGAATATTTTAGCAGAATCAGCACCAACAAATCCTTTTAATTGTAGAATGAGGTGCTGCAGAGTTCATACACATTTAAAGGAGTGTTGTACTGCTGATGCTCCGAAATATTGCTTTAGGCTTTATTTCGTCATAGATAGAGGGTTAGCATTCAGGTTGTGATTGACTTAAGTTAATGTTAGAGTAAGGGTTAGTGTTAGGATTAGGGTTAGGCTTAGGTAAAATGTTTACGGGTCTACATTTTGGTATGAGGTTGAAGTTAAAGATTTGGTTAGTGTAGGACTTGAAAGAGATAATTGTGACACTCTTAGCCGACATACACGTTCAAAGTTCCCTCCACATACTTGTACAAGCTCTATGGGA